TTTTTTCGTGACCTTGCTCTTTCTTTTCGTAACGTCTACTTAATTACTTCCTCTATTTCATATTAACTAAGTTTTCTAAACTGAGTTTTCTGGATCTTTTTAATTGTTCAAAATAATCGAATTGTCCCAAGTTCAAGATAGATGTTTGAATTTTTTTTTCATATTTGCTCTTTTCTTTAATGGAGTTTGATATTTTTTAAGAGATAAATTGCACTACTTACAAAGTTATGTTTATGATTTACAAAAGATAATATTGGGAATTATGGTTTAAATTATGTCCTTCAATTTATTTTTTTAATAATATAGAATAATGAGAGTGTAAAAAAACAATTGAACTATTCTTCAATAAGTGTTGGATCCTTACTGTTATTAAGACTCTACTATTTCATTCATTCATTTTGGTGCAAAGCCCTCCAGCTAGGGAACTGTTCATCGTAGAGAATTCTTCTTTTGATAATTTCATTTACATCTTCAAAAAATGTGACCGTGACTCATAAAATTTTCATCGATCGTCTTATGACTATAAATATTTTGATGATGTGGAAGACACACAAACACATTGAATTTTTAACTCATGAATCATAGTAATAAGCCATGAGAAACTTAATTCGAAAAGAAAATTATTAAGTACTACAAATAAAATCTCAGCATTAGTTAAAAATATTTAGGATCAGTTTAGTCAACAGAAATGAGAATGGACATTGCTACTTGATCTTGGGTATACTTCCGAGATTCATGTGTAACATCTGCAACAAAATAAAAATATCCTTGATTTTCTCAAATATAATAAACATTGAGCAAAATTATACAATATATGACAATTTAATATTAATTTTATTAACACTAAACAATACTAATTACCGCAAAATGTTCGAGTCTACACGTTTGTTAATAACTTTCTCCACTTGAATATTTTCATGTACAAAAACTGACCAACGGGACCCACATCTACGATATTGTGTAGGCATTATACAATGGGTCCCACTATATTCACTGTCACTTTAGTGTAGGGCATTTTCAGTAATTTTTATAGAAAAGAAGGTACTTTTTTGAAGTCATTAATATTGTGCAAATATCAAAGCACAAAAGACAGCCTTTTCAGGCAAACTTTATCTTATAAAATGCTTTATAAACAATTATACCCTCACACTTTCACTTAATGTCAAAAAACTGACATGAAACTGCCTCAAACTCTCTCTTCTAATATATATATATACTAGGGTAGGGAGGCCCGTGGCAAGCACGGGCCCAATAGTCAAAATATTATGGTTGTGAAAATATTTTAATATTAATGAATGAAGGATCAAGGTGTTTGTAGAAGATGGATAATATTATATATTATAGTAATATGTACAATAGACATTAGCATGGTGTCGATTTTAACGATTTGCACATACTAAGTAATGTAATATAAGCAAAATAATATAGTACATGTTGCAGTTTTGCTAAATAAGATTAGCATGTCATTGTTTATGACATATTTAGAGGATGCTGCAGTTTGCTTCTCCATAGATAATGTTCCTCATGCAAAAAACCAGAGCATAGGGAGAGTCATTCATTGTATTGTCCCTATTATAAGCAAAAGTGACAAAATGGCATGACAGAGTTCCTGTAATTGCACAGTTTAAAGTCTGTCAGAAATTGCAAACATGGCAACACATAGCAAAAAGAATTTTAATATACGGATCAAATAGAAAGGAATTCATGGACTGATGATAAAAGTGGGAGATTCCTTGTTGAATGTCTGTGTGATTGACCTAATCGTGTATGCATAGTGTATCACATCATAACAAAGTAGAATAAGACAAATGTACAAGACTGTATGCAGCGGAAGTTATGCAGAAAAACATGTGGATAGGCTTGTATTGCAGTGTGAAATGACAAACAATAACCAAAGAGCAAAGGGAGGCTACAGTTTTATGGTATCGCAAACACACAGCAGACATAAGGATTTCTTTGAATGTGATTTATATGAATGTGAGCAACAGTGGTCATAATGAAATGTCAAAAGTCCAACTCTGGTTTTTTGGTTTGAACGACACTTTGATTGGATGTGAGTTGAGCTATTGGAAGGAGTATAAATACGAAGGAGTAAGAAATTAGGGGCCGTGTGAGAAAGAGTTGCTGCTAACTGTGAAGTAATGAAGGTGGTCAATTGTTATAACTAAAATAAGCTAATTCAACAGTGAACATGAGATGAGGATTTTAAAATAAATTGTTAACCAATTGATTTGATCGTGGGTATGAACATGGATAGAGATTTTTTAGCCCTGAATAAATGTGAGAGTTTCGAATGTGATGTGAGACATAAATGGGGAAAAAAAGTGAAATTTGAAAGTAGATAAGAGCAAATACAAAAGCAGTAGTATGACATAAGTATGACATTTACAATGTTTCACAGGAACTATATGGTTACGTGTATAATAGAAAGTAAACTACAGGTAAAAGTAGAGACTTTTAGCAGTATTTTTTGAAATACTTGTGAATATGTGCGAGTGATAATCATTGTGACCTATAGGTTGGTGTGAAAGTGAGAAGTAGACTCACCTTTTACACCTTTTTGGTTGGTGTGGGTGGTTCAAATTTTGGCATTGGATTTGAAGAACCAGCTGCAGTAGTTGTTGCCATGACTTCTACCTCACTTATTTCCAAAGGTTTAATCTTTTTAGAAGTTCTATCAGTAGTGCTCTGTGGTGTATGTGGTTTTTCGATGTAGGAAAGAACGGACAAAGTTGCATGTGTGGTATTTAAGCTGCCCCAAGATGACTACCTTAGCTGAATTTCGAAGACTTTGTTTGACAACATCTCATGGACATGATTGTCGCTGTAAATGTAACAAGTTGGAACAAATAGTTTAGAACAAAGCATATGTGGTAAAGTGTGTGTGCTGAAGATATATGGTATTATGACAATAGGTGTGTACAAGTAGGCAGTGGGAATGAGAGATAACCTTAGTGCAAGTTATGTCAAATATGTCTTCTGTTGGCATGGACAGTAATTTTTCTCCTAATTCAGCAGAGATAGATGATGTGGTTGTAGCAGTGCCGTCAATAAGATCAATTTGGAAGCTACAGCTGAAATGATGGCAAGCTTGAAATATGTGTATAATATATGCTATATTTTGTAGCAAGTGTAGTTTAGAAGTGAAAAGTGTAGTACCGAGGCACTAATGTTGTTTTCCGCTTGCATTTTGGACATTCAAAATCCTTTCTATCCTTTGTGCGTTTTTTTTGTTTTGCAGCCTGAGCATTCGAGCACACAAAAAGTCTTGGAATTCATCTAATATGGCCATTTCTGCCTCAACATAGAACACTCCCATCTGTCAGAAGTTTTTATTATTTAGGCAAACCTACAGAATGACAGAAGGAAAAAGGATATTCTCAAATGAGGAGCTTCAACTATGACTTACAGAAGGTGCTGATGAGATTTCTGCAATAGAGATAACTTGTTGGCCAGCAGGAGTGACTATGGTGGGAGTGACAGATGAGCTTGTTGAAGTTTTCGCTGATGCACAACTTAACAACATTGTTTTGTTTTCTTTTGCCGTATTGTTAGAACAGGTAATATGTTTAGTAGGTTCATTATAGGCAAAATAAAGTTATAGAGTAAATAGCAAAATGTCAGTACCAGTTGATGAGTGCCAGTGCCTGTGGGTAATTCGGATTGACACGTACTGTGGAGTTGTACCTAGTCTGCAGTGACAACCCTGTATAATACATAGGTTGTATAATGTTTTGTTATTATCTAAAATTATGTTGGTAAGAATTTTAGTGTATATGTACCTTGATAAGTAGAGATTCTTATACTCCTTCCGAGGATTACAGGCAGATCTGCCTCTGTTGCCATTTTAGAGCCAATTTCATATCCTTCTATTTCTCCGAAATCCTTCCATAGAGTGAAGAGAAACTATTTTTTCCTGAGGGTGTGATAATATAAGGAGGGAAGAGTAAGTACTATGATAACGCTTAGATGATAATTGATGATGGCAGCAAACAAATGGATAAAGTGGTTACTGAGCCAAAAAAATTGTGGAAATTGGGAAAATAGAATGTAAGATGTTATACTTACTGATTGTCACAAAGGGTAATTTCTTGACACCTATGATGACTGCGACCAGCGGTTTTTTGGGGACCACAACGAAGAACGATTGCCAGTATATCTGCGTATGTAATACATAATGAAATGTTGCAAGTGTTCTGTAGCAGTAAAGATGTATATTTCAGTCTCATAATAGCAATTAGGATGGACATACCAATTTCAGCAGCAGAATCAACCATCAGATGAGGAATGCGGTCAAAGGCTGTGATATTCAGCTTGGTTGGCAGGGGAAGTGGAATTTCAACCTCATTAGATGGTTTGATTTGTTCAATTACTGTTTCTTTGTCAAAAATCCAGTAAAATTGATGTATTGGCTTGCCGTATGAAGTGGGTGAGACTTTGACTCTTGTAGTAGAGATGAGGTAGGTATTCATGAGTTTAAGCGTAGCTGCATACTGCTCAATTTCTTCAGCATACATAACTGCCTTAATTTGGCATTCCTAAAAGTAAGAGTTATAGAAAGTTCAGATTAACTAAGTTGAGAGCAAAAGAGCAATAGTGATAAGACAAAATATAATAATGACTTTACCGTTTCATCTTCCAAAATTAGATTTTGGAATGTACATTTCTTGTCAAGGCTTTCTCGTGGGCAGCCTATTTCCACAATTTGAACTTTGCAAATCCAGTCTCGTGTTGCTGGTTCTATTTGGTCGATGTTCAATCTTAGTACCATGTTTGTAGGAAATCGAGTTAACCAAATAGTACTATCTGCAGGATAACATGAGTATTCAGGCAAAGTAGTTGGTTTGTTCTGGTTTTATGAACAGGGCTGATTAGACAAAAGGGAAAAAGGAATGAAATGAAAGCAGCAGTGTGGAGTAAAATGCACCTTCTAGATGCATGAATGAGGATTTGATGTAGTAACAAAGCAGTAAGAAACTCTGGTAAAATAAAGTTAGGAGAAACAGTGAACATAAAGTACAAACTCATAGAAGAGCCTATAGCTTGTAGCATAGTACTTACTTTTGCTGCCATGTTCATGTTGTAACCATTTATGTGCTATTAGTTCTTTGTCAATCATGAGATGCAGTAGTACAATTGCAGAATGTGAAAGTAGGAGATTGACAATCTGATACAAATAAAGCAGTCACATCCAAAAGGATGAAATGAAGTATACTACTTGAGAGTTGTACCTCTTACTATTCGGTGCTATGAGATATAAACTGCAGAAACATAATAAAGTTTATATGGGAAAAAAACAGAAGCAAATAAAGAACAAATGAAAAGAAAAACAACAGTGTTGTCATAGTAGAAGTACAGTCATGCGTAAATCTGTTAGGGCCCTTTAGTGGAGCTCAATGGAGACATAAAATCAGTTAGAAGTCATTATTAATGTACAAAGTAGAATTGGACAACTATTTTTTCAGTGAAAATCTGTTACGGGGACAGAAAATGTTGCAGAATATTAAAACATGAACAATTATCTCTGAAACTTGAGTGAAACCACTATACAAAAACAATATGAAGAAACTTTTAAAAATGTTGGTTGGACATGGTATTGTATCAGAAATTTATTTTCTATAGCACACGACTTGATAAAAAAAGAAAAACAAAAGAAGAGATGCAGAAGCTACTGAAAAGTGCTTAAATTTTTATCATTCTGCTGAAGACTTAGTGTCTACTGTGGGAAAACATGAAAAGGGAAGAAATAATACCTGAGAAAGGGAGCAAAAGTTTTTGTTGAATGAAAGGCTATACATGTGTCTTGTTAGAAATTCATGGGGTTTTGGTTGCCAATGAAATGGTGCCAAAAAAGACAGTAAATCAGTACATTGGGCAGGCAAAAAAGAGACAAAATTATTACATTTGACTACCTAATGTAATATTTTTTTGTTTTTTTTGGCATCATTTCATTGGCAGCCAAAACTGCTTGAATTTTGAAAAAGACAGATGTAGTTTTTTTGTCCTTTCTAAATAAGGATAGAAAATATTTATGTATCTATCTATCTATCTATGTATATATATATTACCCTTCGCAACTAAAACAACATGAATTTTGAATACGACAGTTCTAGTTTAATTGTTCTTTGTAAATAAGGGAAAAAAATATATATATATCTATCTATCTATCTATCTATATATATATATATGTGTGTATATATACACACACACACACAGATACATGAAACCATGTGTCATGTCGTGAGTGTGGTAGGAAAAATGTTATAGCATTAGCATTTTGTTTTTACTGTAAAAATGAATCAAGGATGATATTTTGCTCATCTATAGTGAAGAATTGAACATGCAGTATGCAGTGGAAGTGTGAAGAAGAAAGCTAATTGTATCTTTACTCCAATTTGTGAAGGAGACTGTAGGTAGTGACGACTTTTTACCTCATTCAGATAGTGCAATATGTGATCTTCATTCTTGCTTTATGTCAGTTGATTCTCCATCCATATGACTGCAATTTCACAAGCAAAGCACATATCATCGTGCAGTCTTGGTCATCTGCTCTACTGCAGAAGAAGGCCACAGAAACATCCATCATTTATATCATGAATGTGATGAATTAATAACTAATATACTACACAGTCAGAATGGATGTAAAAATCTTTTGAAATTAGGTAAATCATTAGTGCTAACCTGAGATACCATTGTTTCAATTATTGCTTTAACACATTGAATAAGTTTTTTTCGTTGTGCGTCTGACTTTAGCTGGAAACATGTATATCTCTTATGCAGTACTCGTTCAATGGGAATAAAGTTTGTAATATTAGTTGACAAATGTTTAGAAGAAATAAACCCTGAAAGGGATTTCAAAACAAATAGGAATTTGTGATACCTGGTGCAGTATTGGTACTTCAGCATCTACATTAGCGATGAGATGTGAGCTGATTGAAGCAGTGTGTACAATGTCATTGTTGCAGCAGTTTGGTGATGTTCCTGTAGATTCTGTCTCTGCCAGTTTGATATTGACGTGAAAATAAAGAAGGCGTCGTTATGTTTTAAATATATTACATAACTTTTGTGGAAGGTTATACAGAAAGCTTGCTGTGAAAGAGAAAAAACAGATGTTAATGTTACAGTTGCACGTAGGGCTGTTGAGGTTAGATTGTGAAATGATCAACAAAAGTGGTCTGTTGTCGTTATGTGGGAAAAAAGTTCAACAGTTTAGCTGTCCCTGAGAAGGTGACTTATATGGAAAAGTTTGCTGACCTTTGTATTATGGCAGAAACTGGGCAAAGAGCAGAACATATATTAATATAACTAAATATGTAGAAAAATGGACGAACTTAGGTAAAATAAAGAACAACACAGTATATTAATCTAAGGCAATATGTAGAACATAGAAATGGAGGAACTTACGTTTGTCAGTGAAGAGAATAGCCTTCGTTTCCTTAGCTGGAGAAATGTGAGCTCTAAAATCCTCGAGAAGGTGAAGTAACCATGTATTATATCAGTCAGAACTAAAATTTAAATGAACATTTTATTTCTAAAATTACTCAAATTAGCAGAAAAGTGAAATGGCAGGTCAACAAAAATAGGAAAAAGGTGAAAGTGCAAATAATAGATTCATGGCACACACAAATATATATGTTCACACATTAGGTTAACATTTTACAGCGTATGATGATTCTCCAACGTAGTTGTCTCTTCAGTAGACAAGGTTTTAACGAAGAAGAGGTTGTTCTTCTTTCTGGTTGGCCACTTTAACGTGTGGTACAAATTTTAAAAAAAATCTCCTTTCTTGTTGAATTATGTTGCACTCATGTATTGAGCAGCCCTTTTTTCAACGAACTTCCAACAATATAGAAGTCACATAAATTGGAGGCTACAACTTCAAACTTCTTTTTCAGCATACATAGACATAGATAGACAGCTGCTAGGGACCAATGAGAACATAATAATGTAGGTCAAGCAAACATTGTGGCATATAAAATTGGTATCCAGGAAAAAGGACAATTTCTATTTATAGAGCAAAAGACTGACAGCAAAGCAAGAAACCCCGAAAAATGAAACAGTGAGGAATAGATGATTCATTCAACAAAGTCAATATTAGAGCTTCAATTTTTTCTAGTCTAATTACATGCAATTTCAGTGGGTAAGTTCCTCGATTATCAGATCCACATTTGACAAGTAAATTGAAGAGATTATGGAAGCAAACACAATTGAACTATTAGTTTTTCGCAAGTCAGACGTGTGAACATTTGGTTGTTCATATAAATTTTTTGCTAGTTTCAACTATCAACATGTATGTATCACTTTTAATAACTCTTTCGCCAGTTTAACACGTGAACAATTGGTTGTTCTGAAGTTCTCTTTTTCTTTTGCTACCCATACTCTTACCATCTATGTATTATAAGAGAAATACTAATGCTTTTATGTTCTACTGGATACCGCTGGACAAGTGATACGTAATGTTTGAGAATGAAGAGTCCTAATAGACGAATAAGAGTGACAGCGAAGAAGAAAACAGAGAGAACTAAAGGGTTGTTTATTGATTACAATTATGTAGTTAACGTAGGTGTATCGTTGATGACAAAATTCAACACAACAATACTGATTGGTCCGCCTTTTCCACTATGCAAGCAACTACAAACATGGTACTACAACACCTCTTAATATATTCTCACTATTTTTTGTTTACATATGAAATTAACATTACTGTCTGAGAATGAGAGTCCTAATAGACCAATAAAAGTGACAATAAAGTAGGAAGTAGAGAGAACCAGAGAGTAGTTTATCGTCAGCTAAAATAACTACCTATAAAGAGGAAAACTTCGTTAAGTCCATAGTGAACTTCTTTTCATTACTACACGTACCTACTATGTAATTTTTAGTTGAAGTAAGTATAACTGGTAAAATCAGGAACTATATGTCTTACCTATAGAGTACAAAGTTGTCAGTATATTGTTACAAATGTAAACCTGCAAGCAAACTATTACTGAAATACAATGAAGCACTGAAGTAGGAAATAGGTAGTTTCTAATATTAGTTTAGAAATGTTCAGAAGAAATAAACCTTGAAAGGGATTTCAAAAGCAATAGAAAATTGTGATACCTGGTGTAGTATTGGTATTTCAGCATCTACATTAGCGATGAGGTGGCAGCTGATTGTTGCAGTGCGTACAATTTGATTGTTGCAGCACTTTGGTGATGTTCCTATAGATTGTTATTATGTTCATGGTAAGAAGTTGAGTAAAGACATTCATCTTTTGTCTAAATTGGAAATGGGTGACGTACAATGGAAGAGAAAGTATGTGGTTTAGGATATATATATGTCTGTGTTGTCAAAATAGGAAGAAGAACAAGTTAAAAGCTGCAACGAAAATAAGACAATGTATGGTGTAATTGACTGTATTGTTTAAATATATGAACTATCTCTTTGAACTGACGACATGTGAAATACAAAAGAGTAGAGAAAGGTAGTGTTTACGATGAACATATGTGCTGTAGTCTTAAATTTTAACTAAATTAAATACTTCAAATATATAATATCACACTGCCAAAACTGAATGTAAGATTACATATTATATACCTCTGACTAATGAGTATTTTCAGTGCCTTTGCCTTTTCCTTTACTGCATCTGAAACTTTACTGATAGTCCTTCTAGTTTTATCCTACAATAAGCAAAATTCATAAATGTGTATTTCACATTATTAGGCACTTTAAATGTGAACCATTCAAGCGTATATGATTATGGCCAGAATTAGGTATAGTAAGTGGAAGAAAAATGCTAAAGCTTTGTACACATTTGAAAAGTCAAGAAATTAAGCTGTAGGCAAATATAGAAGATTCATTTTTCACCAAAGTTGAACTGTAAATTTAGAGAGAATATGGTTAAGAGGAAAAAAGTATGTACCTTTGATAGAACTCACAGAGTTAGTTAAGTTAGTCTTCTAGCCGTACCTTGTATTGCTCTGTCTAACTGAGTTTATTTGCTGCTTTTTCAACAGTAAGAATTTGACAGTTGTAATCCCCAAATATGTGAAGCTGCTACAATAATTTTAACAGGTTGAGAGAGCAATTGAAAAGGATAGCTTGCATTTACTTTTGAATTAATGTTATGTGATACAAGGTAAAGACCCTATGCTGTTTGACTAAGCTGAAGCTGCAATGAACTATGCTTGATAAAGTTTGTTAAATGAAGAATAATAAATTCCATATAGAATGAAGACCTTTGGACTCTTGTCTCTCTACAGTATGCAATATATAGAAGCAAATATGTTGGTCATTTTACATACCAAAAGGATTGATATTGTGAAGACAGAAGGCAAAGGATTGATATTGTCACTTGTCAAACAGAAACAACTTCAGATGTGGGTTCAGTGCCACAAATAAGAACAGAAATGTAAGAATAAGCATGGCAAATCATCTGTACCTTCTTCCTCTGAATGACGTCTTTTCTTTTGTATGTTGGAAACATTGGTATTGAGTTGAGCAGAATCAGCAGCACAAGGCATGGGATCCAATGTGTGTATATCAGCACAATTAAGCAGATTCATTTTTGTTGAAATGAAGTTTGTCTTACGACTGGCTGCAGCTAGAGCCATGTAACTGTGTTAATCCTAGAGTTTGAAATTAAAAACAAAGAAATACAAACCACATTCACTGCACGCAATTACAATATCAGTGTCTACGACATTGCCAGTTTCACATAAATACTTAGGAGTTAAGTTTAGGGCGAAAGTCAGGCAAAAATGAGAAGATGCATGTATATATAAGTAAAGCTTAAGAATAGCACAAAAAGTATCACTGAATAACTGTAAGTCCGTAACCGAAATTGAAAAGCATAGACAAATTCAGTACATAGCTGTAAAAAAAAAGGTCAAGAAGACAGATATAAGCATAATAATACCTTCATCTGTTGATTTAGTACTTCCATTTCTATTTGCATATGCAGTTGAATCAACTGATGGAGCCGTAGGTGGTGACAATTGCTTTTCCTCAAGATCTCCATCAACAACAAAAGCTTTACTATTCACTTGTACAACATCATCATCCTGCGCTTCCAAATCTTCTACCATTTTTTGGATCACTGAGATATCCACGACAGCATATTTAGCAGCTTTTTCCTCCTGAAGTCATACTCTACTTTCAAAATCTAAGAACTTTTCCAAATACATTTTCAAACATTACAGTGGGGGTAAATATATAAACACAAACATGTAGCAGAAACAAATTAGGACTTTTGGGTGCTTTAGCGGAGGTAAAGTAAGAGAGAAAATAAGTTACGAACAGAAAGTTAAACTAATACGAACAAGTTACAGTGGAAGTAGATGCAAAGCAAGGATACAGCTTTCAAATATATTTGGTGGGGGTAAATATATAAACAACAAACATGTAGCAGAAACAAATCATGTACCTTTTGTATCAGTCAAACACAAAGGAATACGTTGTAGAAAATCTGTGGGAAAAGGCAATAAATTTTGTTAGGATTTGAAGAGAGTACAAAAGTTGGCAATTTTGTAGAAACTTTCTGTCCTTATGTAGGAATACAGGACGTAGGAAGTAACAAAAGAAACAACAACTAAACAATGCTTCCTCCTTTGAATTCACATTCCGAAACAAAAGTAAAGTAAAGGATGAAAGTTGTATTTTGTATTATAGTGTTTCTTTTTCTGATGTAGTTTTTTGCGTCCTATGTCAGTGTAATATGTAAATGCCATTTATATTGTAAGGAGATTTAATTGTGGAAAAAGAAATGATAAGCTGATGAAAGAAAGTAAGGATAAGCTTAGAAGCAACTATTTCCCTACAATGGTAGGGCTAGCAGTTAATGATTTTGAATAGCCATTAACAGTTTGGACTATCGTGAAAAAAAGAAAAGTGCAAAAAGTTGAAACATTAATTAAAAGAGTTGAATGAAAAGTGATGAGCAAACAGTGCAAACTAAATGACTAAGAGAAGCAGTAAATTAGCAGTACAAATAAAGTACGACTATTTATTCCTAGTACCATTATGAGAGACTTTCCTACTGGAGTGACTAATACAAATGGGTGAGATAACAATTGTCACTGTACTTGGAATGTTGTAGCTACAGGTGAAGTAAAATATGAGACAATAGCTCCTGGGTCTAGGAGATTGTATAGTTGATGCGAGAAAACATATAATGTAGCTGTGATGACGGGTGGGATGTCTGTGAATCTTCTGGAGTGGGTAGGCTGTATATACGGTTTGCGTTGGCAGTTGAAACAATCGCTCTAAGGTGACAGTAATGAAGATGCTGCTGCATACGCTGCAGGCTGTTGTGTATCAGTGGTATCTCAAATTGTATACATTATGAGAGAAAACACATAAGGTACCTGTGAGAACGTGTGGGATGTGTGTCAATCTTTTGGACTGGCTAGCCGGTATATACGGTTTGCGCCAGGAGTGGAAGCAATCCCTCCAAGGTCATCATAATGAAGAGCCTGATGTAGACCTTGCACACTGTTCTGTATCAGCGTTATTTCTATGTTTCAGCTGTGGGCAATCTCCTGTGAAATAGAGTTACTATTTAGGAATATTCAATTTGAACAATTGCAATAGGAAAAAAGTTAGAACTACATATGGAACAAATGAAAGGAATAATTAATTAAATTATATGAAATTTTTGTAGCAGTTAATGATGGTGAATAGCGTTTGAGAATTTGCAGTATCGGGGAAAAGAGGGAATTAAAGAAAGCAGAAACAATGAGTAGAAGAGTTCAATGAGAAGTGATGTGCAAACAATGGTAACTAAATTCTGACAGGATTTAAAAGTTTGTAGTTACAAGTGAAGTAAAATATGAGAGAATAGCTCCTAGGTCTATCAAATTGTATAGATCATGCGAGAAAGCATATAAGGTATCAGTGAGCAAGTCTGGGATGTCTAGGAATGTTGTCGACTGGGTAGCTCCTATATACGGTTTGCGTCGACAGTTGAACCAATCCCTCTAAGGTTGGGATAATGAAGAGGCTGCTGCAGACCGTGCAGGGTGTTCTGTATCACTGCTATTTGTATGTTTGAGTTGGAGGGAATTTCCTGTGAAATAAAGTGACTATTTAGGAATATTGAATTGTGGCAAAGTGAATATGTAATAAGGTACAACTACATACGAAACACATGAAATGAATCAGTAATTATATTACAGGGAATATTTTCTTTCCTTTTGGCAATGAATTTGTGTGGACAACTATTGAGGGAAATGAAAGCGAAGCCATATAAAACCCCTGAATACCGAACACGTGAGGATAGAACATATGTCAGAAATGACAAAATGTTTAAGCAGGAAAACTAAGGTTGAGATGAAAGTGGGAATGTCCATGTAAGCCCATTGAGACGAAGCGAAAAAAAAGATTTGCTGGATAAATTTGATGAGTTTATCAACGGCCAATAGGATTAAATCTAACATTAACATGAAATACATTTACAGAGCTTCAGATGGAAAAAGGCAAAAACCATCAGAAAATATAAGAGTTTGAAAGCGTAAACAATAGGGAAAAGAGAAATGGAGAAAGCATTGTAAGCGGAAGGTTTGAAGCATTGAAAGGGTGTGGTTCGATGGTGAAGACAGTGTAATAGACAAATACATGCAATTATTCATCAGAAGTTTGCAGTACCTGCATACAGTATAATATGGCTTAATATAGTGTACATGCGAGAATTTAACAATCAGAGAAAGAGCAAAACAGAAGACAAATTAGGAATCGGAGAAACAACAAATGGAGGAAACATGTAAATTTTACTTAAACCATGAAAAAGTACTTGCGCAGGTCGTCCGAGACAAACAGAAATCTTCAGGAAAGCTTGAGAGAGAGATTTAAAGGCTCTAGAGAAATAGAAAACAGTAAAGAACAGATGGAGTACCTGCGCAGGTCATCCGACACAAACAGAAATGTTGAGGAAACCTTCAGAGAGAAATTTAAAGGCTGCAGACAAATCAAAAACAGTAAAGAACAGATGGAGTACCTGCGCAGGTCATCCGACACAAACAGAAATGTTGAGGAAACCTTCAGAGAGAAATTTAAAGGCTGCAGACAAATCAAAAACAGTAAAGAACAGATGGATTCGCCATTGAAGAGTTCAGAAGTAGAAAGAAGAGTTCAGAGGGAGAGAAATTAGGGTCGCTTAAACCATGAAGAAGTACCTGCGCAGGTCGTAGGAGAGAAACAGAAATCTTCAGCAAAGCTTCAGAGACAGATTTAAAGTCTGTAGACAAAGAGAAAACAGTAAAGAAGAGATGGAGTCGCCATTGAAATTTCGGTTAAACGACGAAGAAGAACCTGCGCAGTTCGTCGGAGATAAAGAGAAACCTTCACCAAAGCTTGAGAGAGATGTAGACAAACAGAAAAGAGTAAAGAACAGGTGGCTTCACCATTGAAGAGTTGAGAAGTAAAAAGAACAGTCGAGAGGGAGAGAAATTAGGGTTACAAATTTGAGAAACTTCTAGAGAAAGTGAAAGGAAAATGAGAGAGGGCTTTATTGATGTACAATTAGTACTACGTTTAGTACAATCAAAAGATGCATTGTTGGTCCTCTATATGTACAACTTTTAAATGTACAATTAGTACTGCCTTTAGTACAATGAGCAGATGCAGTGTTGGTCCTTTAAATGTACAATTAGTACTGCCTTTGGTACAATGAGCAGATGCAGTGTTGGTCATTTTTAAGTGTCACTTCTAAATAAGGGTAATAACTAGTAAAAATGGCCCGTGTCAGCACGGGCCCAACATTATATTTATATACAATATATTAGATAAAATTATGCACAATTATAAATTCTATATACTATTGATATTCTAATTAATAAATCTCAATTATCTAAAATTATGATATAGTAGAAGAGGATGTTTTTCAATCACAATAAATTATTTTCGAAGCGTAAGGAGTCTATCGACTTTTTCATTTTATTTTATATGATATTTTTTTAATTTTTCTAAAATTTATTATTTATATTTAATCATAATTGATTTTAAAGATCATATTTATCAATTATGAATATCTTGGAAACAAAAAACTTGTATAACTATCTCCGATCCACCTATATTTTACTCTATATTCGGAGAGTAAAATAAAGAATGCTTTCTTCATTTATTCTCTATTTCACTCTCCATTCATCATTTGTAGAGATAATTGAAGAATTACTATTTGTACTCTCTATTTTACTTTTTGATTATTTTATTATTATTTTTATTATATAATATTTATAATTAACATATCATAAATCATATAAGACCATTTATTAAATTTTTAATATTTGTAACTTTTTTAATGTAATATAACACTTCAGAAAAAATATTTTTTAATATATACATTTTCAATCTGAATTAATTATACTTCATTTAAAAAAATAATATTTAGAACCAATTCCAAACTCATCAATGGACATTTCATAAATAAGATGGGTAAAGTATTTTTTTTTATTAGAAAAATAAATAAGGCAAAAGTTGAGGGAACACTGACTGACACAACTCCACAAGTGTAGTTCAATGGGTCACAATCACATTTAATGATATTTCAGTGGATGGCATCAATTGTAATTTAAGAGAAAATAATGGGTTTTTTATGGACCTGTTGATGTGGTGTAAAGAATAAAGCAGAAAATACAATTCCTCTTAAGCAAATTGATGTAGGAAAATACTATTATACCCTTAAACTTTCTTCTAATCTCAGCAAGCTGACATGTTGAAACTCCTGAAACTCTCCTGTCTAATATATAGAAAAATATATATGATTCATATTAAAAAGTGTATACATTTGAACGAAAGGATTTTTGGTGTGCTTAAAACAGATGATATATAAGAATATTTCATAAAAAATAAAAAAAGTTTTTGCTTCTTGGTATAATTTTGATAGGTTAATATCCACCCTTAAACCAGAGAGGGTGGATCCAATACCATATTGGGTTTATTTAAATTTGATATATTTGACGTGGAATATTAATTTATGGGTAAAAAATTACAAAAATTGTATATATAAACTCATTTAAAATATAATAAATTTAAGACTAAACTTGAATTTATACTATGAACCTTTAATAATGGAATTTATATAATATTCTCAAATTTAGAA